TTTGATTGAGATTTGACCGAGACATGAATGTTTCAAAACAAAGTATCTTTAGAAAAATTATAAAAGAATGAAAAATCTATGTTTTGAAACATTCATGTCTCGGTCAAATCTCAATCAAAAGAAGAATCCTTTGGAGGTTATGCTAGTCTAGTGGTCCTCTACCAATGGGCAAAATATGAGCCCAAAATCTTGAAATAACTTGGATGACCCTCATTAGATGTTCCTAGAAACAGCTCCAGATCTCCCTCATTTAAGGTGAAAGTCAGCAATTTTTTCGGCCAAAGTTGTTTTCTGACCACGCCCTAGCTAACTAGAACGAAAAAAGCCGATAAAAAAACTTTTTCCAAAAAGTGGTTGGTTACCCATGGATTCACCCAGTAAAGTAAGATGTTTTGGATATAGAGTAAGACAAAGTAACCTACTAATTTGTTAACACAATCAGAAAGATTAAAGTCTTATAGAATACATGCTTTCTTTACTTTTCTCATTATTTTTTATTGATAATCAATGGTCAGTGATGGCATTTTCTCAGTAGTGACATCACAGTATCTCGTTCGTTTCTCGTAAAATACTTTTCCTAAATTGTTTAATTTTGTATAATAGCCATACAGTTCAGTGGCTACTAATCATATGCCAAAAGATCCAGGATTCAAATTGAAAAGACTTTCTCTCAAAAAATATTTTTCAATTTCTAGTAATAATAAATACATCAGAGTTTAGCCGTAAGAAAAAAGCTGTTTTATATTTATTTCTTAGAAAATGAAATTTCATCCTTGTGTATATTTTTTTTGACAATCATACCTCTATATAAAAACACTGTACAAACATGCTTTTCTACTAAAAAACGAAAAAAAAACGGAAAAAGTCTTGAAATTTAGATAAAAAAACCAAAAAAGTCATTTTATAAGGTAATGTGTGAGAACGCAAAATCTCTAACTGTCACATTGATTCTAATGAAGTACATCGTAATCGATAATGAGATAAACAAAGAATTTAATGTGCCGGTTGACGGGAAACAGCCTTTTTCGATGGAGTGTTCTCCTGATATTCTTTCATTCGTCGTTCCATTTCTGGACGAAAATGACGAATAAGTCCCTAGAAGGTATCAAAGTAAGTTTAATTCTCAGTACTTAATAATGGCTTAATCATACCTGTACTGGCCAAGCAGCTGCATCACCCAACGCACAAATTGTATGTCCTTCAATTTGTTTTGATAATTCCCAGATCATATCGATTTCTTCTGGACGAGCATTACCGTCAACTAAAAAATTTAAACTTCTCATCAACCACATATGTAATGAGCAATGATGGAAGTTACGTAAGGAGAAAATCAAAAAAGATTTGAACGTACCAAAACGGTACATCATTTTCGCCAACCATCCTGTTCCTTCTCTACATGGTGTACACTAAAAAAAAAGAAAATTAAGTGTGATCGTGCGATGACGTTAACATAGGTCATCGTTGTTTGCTGCGCACTACGAAAATTTATATTTATATTTGCAATTTGGTGCTTTTACCTCGTACTTTCTTCGTGTCTTTCTTAAACGTTTCGAAGCATAGAGGATCTCTTCTTCAGTAACAAATAAAATAAATGGCAAAAAAAATCATATTTAGAACGTAAATCGAAGTAAAACTGACACAAAATCATCTTTAAACTAGAATGAATGATAAGAAAATTCTTAAAAAAACGCTTCTCTTCCATTGTGAGCTAGTTTTCTCAGTTATTGTCTAAAGTTTACTCTTTTCTCAACGAAACCTATAACTATCTATTCAGAGGTGCACAAATACGCCTATTCGTTCCGACCACCGGGAACATTTTTTGATTTGAGGAAATTTTTCTGAACAACTTCAAAAGAAGCATTTTTGCTGAAAAATAGTTGCAGAAAAGTTTTTGACACACTACCGGAGAATTGCCATTCTGCACCTACCTATCGCATATAGGCATGCACCGAGTAATTGACTTAGAATTTTTTATTTTTTGAAAAGTCTGGCATTGCGGAAATTGCTTCGTTAAAAATTTTCTGGCTGGGCAAGAATGTAGAGCAAACATTTCTCTACAAAATGAGAGATTGGACAGCTCTACATGATTTGTTTTGAGATTTTGACAGTGATGTCCCATCAGAGACTAAACGAGTACTCTGTACTAGCTTACTACTTGATTATGTGTTCGTAGGGTATCGTTGCCAATCTCAAAACAAATCATGTAGAACTGTTCAGTCCCTCATTTTGTAGAGAAATGTTTGCTCTACATTCTTGCCGAGTCAGAAAATTTTTAACGAAGTAATTTCCGCAATGTTTAATCGCGTACTCATCCAGTTGCTGACGGTTGATATAAGTTTATTCTATCAGAATACAAGCGGGAAATATTTCATTATAGTATTCTAAACTAAAACTATCGAAATACACAAAATCAATTTTGTTTTTTGCTGATGGTTAGCGTTCATTGTTTAGAGATTGACTCCTTGATGTTCAACAATAACAATTTCATGTCTGTTTTACCTTAACTTGTGTTCTAGATGTGATTACTTTCTGTCATTTATTTTATTTATGCCACTGAAGAAGAGATATCGTATATCCCGAAACGTTTAGCAAATAGAAAATACGAAGTAAATATATCGAAATGAATTATTAAATAAAGACAATGACATATCGAAGACCATCATACCTGTCCACATGATTCATGTTTGTAAAATAATGATAAACGCGCAATAGCTTTGATGACATCCGTTGATTTATTCATAACGATGACGGCTGCTGTACCTAAACCGGACTGAACGGCCACCAAAGCATCAAAATCCATCATTACATCATCACAGATACTAAAGAAAATTAAATAATTAAACAAAAACTTATGCTAATCAAGAACGTTCAGTATTCGTACATGACGTTAGAGCTAAAAAATACTGTATATTGATCCTCACTTTAACAAACTCTTTAAACAATTAGACAAAGAAAAAGAGATTTATAACTTCAAAATCTGTTCTCATGTTAAATTATAATCAGATTATAGTGAATTGAATGTCTTAAATTAAAACGAGATCGTTTCATGCATACTGACTGTTTTGGTAACAATGGAACAGATGATCCACCAGGTATAATTGCTAAAAGATTGTCCCATCCTCCAACCACTCCGCCAGCATGTCGTTCAATCAATTCTCGTAAAGGAATTGACATTTCTTCCTCGACCGTAACAGGTTTATTTACATGTCCACTGATACAAAATAGCTAAAATAAAATGAATATGAAAAATAAAATAAGTGTACACAATGCACTATTTCTCATCACTTTTGTTCCGTGATTTCTTTCTCTCCCAAATGACGCGAACCATTCGCCACCTCGACGACATATAGTAGGTGCAACAGCCACTGTTTCAACATTTGTCACCGTTGTAGGACATCCAAATAATCCAATATCAGCTGGAAATGGTGGTTTTAATCGCGGTTTTCCCTGTTTTCCCTCTAACGATTCAATTAACGCCTAAAATAATGCACAATTAGCATACACTATAAAAATGTACAGTACTAATTAATTACTCACTGTTTCTTCTCCACAAATATATGCGCCAGCACCACGATGCATATAGATGTCAAAATCGTAGCCAGTGCCACATGCATTTTTTCCAATTAGACCAGCTTTATATGCCTGAAGTATGAAAAGAGAACAAAATCGTATAACGCGATTGACATCAGTACGCCTTATATTTACCTCTTGGATAGCAACTTGCACATTTGAACCTTCGTTATAGAATTCCCCACGTATATAAATATAGGCTAAAGGAGACAATTAGTTTATATGTTTTAGTGCAAATGAACATTCGAATTTTTACCTGCACGTGCACCCATTGCTTTGCCGGCAATTAAACATCCTTCGAGGAGTTTGTGTGGATCATGTCTCATTATTTCGCGATCTTTACATGTGCCAGGTTCACCTTCATCAGCATTAATAACCAAGTATTTTGGTCTACCATCGGATGGTTTATTCATGAAACTCCATTTTAATCCAGATGGAAATCCAGCTCCTCCTAAACAAGAAATAAAATCAATCTATCTAGATGTTTGATGATAGATAAAAGATGAATATTCTTACCTCGACCCCTTAAACCACTTTTTTTCATTTCATCTATAATCCAATTCGATCCTTTTAGTACAATTTCTTTCGTTTTATACCAATCTCCCTAATCATTGGATATATTTATATTGACATGTTTGAAGAATTAGACAACAAAACTTACTAGTGCTATTGCACCTTTTAGATGCCAATCACGACGTCCATATAGATTTGTAAATATTCTATCTTCATCTTTTAATGGGCCAAATTTTGTCTAAAATATATGACGGAAATAATGTAACGTAAAAAGTAGCCAGTCATTCTTTTTTATTTTGTTTTTCAAACAATACTGTCATGAAACGAATGATGATATCAAGAAAAGAACCATCTACCTTTTTTGGTTTAGCTGCTGGTGTTGCTGCTTGTGAAGGCGGAGATGTTGCTTGTGGAGGAGGAGTTGTTGGTTTTGAAGATGGAGGAGATTGTGGTGGAGGATTTGATGAAGGTGTAGTCGTTGCCAAATAACGATTACTTACTTTTAAAACTAAAATAAAAGAAACAAGTATATTTAAAAAGAAAACGAAGTATAACCATATTTTACCAGAAGCTATTTGCAGTCGCCTGCTGAGAGCCATTTTTAAGAAAAAATTGGCTTACTACAGCTAATGCGATTGTTTAATTCTTACGGTGAGAGCTATTTTATCTAAAAGAAGACAAAAGGAGTTTCATATTCATACAAAAAGATTACGATGATGGAGCATCTCGTTGTCTTAAAATAGGAACAATTGTTTAGACTATGGGCTGTGCTGTCGGGAGCTGCGGTTGACCTAGAGATGGAAGCATAAAACTAAACGGAATCGCGGTGCTACAATAAGCATGCAAAAAAAGAAACCAAAACTAGACAAATCTAGAACCACAAAAAAAACTTTCCAATAGGAAAAGAGCTCTAACTGTATGTAAATATGAGAGAATATCTTACTGACATTTATCACTGATATACAAGATTAAAAAAGCCCTAAACTTTATTTTAAACAGCTAAATATTTAGCTTATTCAAGACATGACAAGATATGTGTGATTTTAAACTAAACGATTACATTCAGAAATTAATCTTCTAAAGCATGAGATGTCAGCGCCATAGATTGAAACTGAATAACAGTTTTCTAAATAGATGGATTACAGCAGATTAATTCCACCTTTTCAATTTCATCTGTTAACTACATAAAATCATATTAATAGTCAGCTTGTTTTAATTTTTCGGAAACTCGATCTAATTTTTTGTAAACTTTATTTGTACGAGGATGGTAATTATCGTGTGCTCCAAATATTCGTTCATTAATTTCTGTCAAACTCAGCCGAGGCAATTCATTTTTCATATTCGTTCGTATTTCATTCGATAGTTAAAAATCGTTTTGCACTGCACAGAAACGGATAAATACTATCGATAAATCATCTGGATCAGCATCTTCATTGTCACGTCCCCTGGACAGGCATAAAAGAAGTATAACTTGACGATTCTTTCCTGTTGAATTTTGTTTACAAAGCGGTCGAATATTGATGGCTGAAATATTTGTTGTTATATACAATATAATAATATTCACTGTTTTACTTTTTACCTGCCTTCATTCTTTGTTAATTGCCCAAATAACGAAACATTTAGTCAATATAAACTTTCATCGAAATTTCTTTCGTTAAGCGTCGGTGCCAGTGTGGGAAAACTATGTAAATACTAAGACTATTGGGGTTTGTAAGGCATCTTTTGGCACTAAAAACGAATTTCTAGACAAGATTCATATCAGAGATAAGTTCTATACAAAAGTGCGTTATTTAAGCTGACGTATCTGTTTGTAACTGAATAATCCGAAAATAATGACTAATATCACCCACTGTACTTTAACTTTCAGGTTATAGTCGAGTCATTTTTATTATTTTATTTTTGAACTGCTGAAAAAAAAGAACATGGATAAATATAGAAAAAACTCAAGAGTATTTACCATTGTTCAACATTATCTTGACTGTTACCGTTGGAATTGTACTATAAAATAAAAATAATAAACGATCGGCGGAGATGATTTGTTTACGAGATATAACGCTCGGTTTTTTTAATATGTTTAGATTTATATATCTGAAAACAATCTACAATCGATATTCTCGATATCACAAAAGTATAGTAATACATACAATTCTTCTATAGTATACCATATCATTTCAGCTCATTTTCTAAAACTAGGCCTACGAGAATTAGTAACGTTTATAATTTTTTTGTAGAAAATGCTCCTGTTGGTTTTATTTGTTTTACAGGAATATTGCTTTTATTTACATTAGGCATAATTGTATAAAGGAAGTTATCAATGATAGTAAGAAAACCAAAAGAAACGACGTTACACGATTTGAGTCAGAAAATGGACAAACAAAAGCTTTTACAAAACATAGACTTAATGCTAAAAGAATAAAATTATTTTGATTGAAAGACAAAAATAAACAAAAAGTTAGAAAAATAAAAAATTGCGTAAATTAAAATAGATGAATTTCATAGTGTAAATAGATGTAAATATCTGGTTCACGAAAAAAAATTCACAAGCAAAAAAAATAAATATGACACTAATCTCATTCATTTATAACAGTTTTCCATTTATAAAATGAACTGGCAGTTCTATTCTCTGTGTTCATCAAAGTTGAAAATGACTAATACTGATTTTAGTTCAAGCAGATAAAAGAGCAGTGAGTTCTTAAAGAACCAAATCAAAAAAAATTCAACAAAACAACAACAACAACAATCGATTTTGATTGATCGATAAAAATGATGAAGAAAAGATATGAATATAAATTTTGATTCAAGAGAAAAATGGATGTTGATTAAAGTGTTGATTTTTCAATTTTATGCGTTAAAACTATTTCTAATGGTTGTCGTTGTTGTGTAGTTTGATTATGTAATCGTTCCACAAGTTTTTGTCGATAAAGTTTTTTACTTTCTAAGTTTGATTCTCTAATAAAAACCAATTCTTTTTCGGCTGATGCTTCGTGTTTAAATTTATAAGCGACTATAATAAATATAATTAGTCCAAAATACGTGAGACCTGGTGATGATAGAAAATTAATTATTGATACAACAACAACGGATTTTTGTTTCGGTATTAGTTCTTCGATCACTTCATATGTTCGATTATAATGCGCAAATGGTCCACAATTAGAAGATGTTTCGAGTTGTGTACTAAATATTACAAAACATGTTATAGCTAAAGTCAGACAAAAAAATGATAAAAGATAGAACATATTATTTAAACGATAAGCATTCCAAATATAAACACGTTTAATAGTGGCAATTTTTCGTCGTTGATTGCAGCTAATATCACGTAGAAAGATGTAGAAACGATAAGTCCAAAATGAGAATAAAATATTAAGTAATTGGAGTAAAACGAGTAATGGAGAAAAATATGTTCCAATCCAAATTAATAATTGTGAATATAACAATTGTGTTGGAGTTATTTGAACATGAATATTGATACCATCAAACATACGACTATATTTATAAAGGACTTTTTTGTTCTTTTTATCCATACTACTATTAGCTGTTGTACTCTTCTTAACGATACTATCTGTTAAAAATAATTGAACAATTAGATCCATTAATGAACCAAAGAAGAGGACGGATACAATTGAAAAAAAAATGTCTAAAAAAAAGAAAAGAGAAATTGACAAATTAATCAATAAGAGAAAAGAGATGATTATGATTTTTGTGTATTCTGAACAAGTTCTTTTCTTTTTCAAAGAATAAAACTTCAACAATGTCAACCAACATTGACGAAAATATGGCTACTGCTTACCTATGAGCGATAAAATATAAAATATCTGTCCAAATCCATTTTCCCAGCAATTGTTTAATTTTTCTAATTCTGAACGTTGTTGATAAAAATAAACAATTAATGATACTATTAAAGAAGCATTAAGAAATAAATTTCGACATCCAATGGTATATAATCGATAAGATGGATATTTATATTTTTCAAATTGAGCTAATATTGTTAATAAATATGGTCCAAAACGATTAATAAATGACATAAAGATTAACGTTTGATAATGTTCACTAGTCATTGCTGATGATTTTGATGACAAGAGAAAATAATTCGCTATACCTAAAATAAAAATAAAAATGTCAGTACTATTAATTCTAAAGTGAATAAACGTTTGATTTATATCTTTATTGATTCCTAATAAAAGGTCAGCGATCAAATGACCGTTATAGGTCTAGCAATACAAATGAAAATAGTTAGCGAATATAATGATAAAATGACTTAAAAAGGACGACGAAAATCGAATGACATAGGTAGACAGGCCTGGCGGTGGAGGGAGTATGAACGTCATAAGAGAAAACGAGTAATACCGTGCTGCTAGTTATTTAAATCTGTTCGTTTGTTGAATATATGTAATGACCGCACCTAGTAAACATATTAGTGTGTCATTATCTAAATATAAGCTGTTCAGTCAGTACGGGGACACCTATATTCTGATCGGGATATAGAAAAAAAGTTAATATCCCGATCGGGATATAAAACACAAAATTTCATCATAAAAACGATTAAGGGAAAAATGACGACGTTTTGGGGTATAATTGATACCACTATTAAAAAGAGCTCGAAAAACTACATCGAATTCTGTTGTGTTTGATCAACAGTGTGTCAAGCTCCCACCAAGTATTTGTCCGAAAACAAATTTTAGACGAATTTATATACGATCGAGAAACAGGCGGTTAATCTTTTATTGCTCATAATGGTTTCACAGTTCTCTAACAGTCAATTTAGAATACTGACATAGAACAGTGAATTTAATTTTCAAAAATTTACTGTAAAGCTAAATTCGTGCGTTCGAAGCTCTATTTGTACAAAATTAATTTTATATTTTTTTCAATAGTTTTAGTTTAGAATAATATAACAAAAATTTTCTGCTTGTATTCTAAAAGAATAAAGTATATTTTGATAACACACAGTTTACTTACCAAGACCGACGGCTAATCCAACATACAACAGATTTATAATAACAATTTTAAAGATATAATAATAACTTTTATAATAATCATGTTTTTTCTTTCTGTTCAGACGTTTATTATTTTCATGATTAATTATTTCTCGTAATTGATTATAACATATTTGAATTTGTTCCTTTTTATGTTCATCTTCATGTATTGTATAATCCCATCGAGCAAATGTAGATAAAAAACCGTTACCACGTTTTGAACGTAAAATTGAATCTAAAACATTATTTTTATAGACATATGAAAATCGTATACCAATAAATATAAACCAAAATATAAAATAAAAATAACCACATAACAAATAGATTAATGGTATAGGATAATTAACATGATAATGTTGATTATTACTTTCATTTCTAAATGGAGAAAAAAAAGATAAATAAACACATGTGAAAAAAGAAAATCCCGAGTTGAAAATGAGAAGAAATATCAAAATTCTGCTTGATATTCGAATCAAATCACAACTAATAAACATACCTGATTGGGAGACTTTGATTTGGGTATACTCCGTAAAATAATAGAGAATTTTCCAGATAACCACGTGTATTAAATATCGTATCAAACGTAAAACGCTTTGGTGGACTATAGGAACCCAAAATAAGAAATGGTAAAGTTATTAAACAAAACCAAAGTATAAACATGAATATATTGTAAATAAAAAAATGACGATTTATATTAAATATCGATGAAACACCGGAGCCATACTGACGTTCAATATTGACACTGGTTGAATGCCATAATGAAAACCAAACTCTTAGTTTAGAACGAATTGTTTTTGTACGCTTAACAAAAATAAACAATCAAATGCACAAAAATACAAAAACATTGTGCACTAAACTTTTTTTCGCTATACACCTTGTACAGCACATTTGAATGCTGTTCTTCCGCTAGTCTATAGTCAAATATAATTGATTGATTATTGTAAATTATATAAAAATTTACCTTTGCAAATGTGCTTGAGACATTGGTCTTAGGATTTAAAAAGAATTTTGCCGCTTTATCCGTTGATATATCGGTTTTACTTTCTTGAAGTAACAAACGTTTATATGTTAGTGGCCAATTAAGTAATTGAATATGTTTAACAATGGCTGCTGAGTCATTTTCGAACGCTTTATTCAATTCTTCCACTGCATGAAGAATACATTGATTATCTACAATAAAGAGAAAATTTAGAGTAAAACATAATAAACCTTTCTTTCTAAGTACCATCTTCTTCCGATGCCTTCAATTTACGTAATTGTTCATTTAACAGCAATTGTAATTCATTTGATCGACGAATTTCATCTGTATCCATCATTCACATATCAGATCTTTAACAAAAAAAAAAAGAAAAGAAATAAGAATGTATATCAAATTCAGAAAGTGTTTTGATAAGCATTTTTATTAAACATATTTATTTATTAAATATTAACTTAGTTATGAATGATAGTGTAAAAAATAGTGCATGTATTTTTCATGACAAAAACATCAAGTGGAAATTTTCATTTGATAATAAAAAGTATAAAAAGCAGATAACAGTAAGTGATAAGATAATAGTTAAAATTTCTTTCTTTCTTATTATGCATTTCTCGGAAGTATTATATTGACTTTTGACTTTCTTTAGACAAGAAGGTTTGCTTGTTAGACAAAGAAGGTTTGCGCAAAATACTTTATTACATGTATATTTTTTAAAACGATAACATCATTCAATCAAACATCATGTTTTAAAATTTTAAGTAGGATTAAATTAGTTTTTAGAATGAAACTATACTATAAGCGTAATCGACTTTTAAAACTCGGAAATAATCTCTTTAAAAATCATAAACTGGAAAGTATATCGTCATCTTTATTTTTTCAGTTAAAGTTCGAACATGTTGTACAAAGGCAAATACTTAAAAAATTGTGCTGCTGATTATTTCAATAACTTTTCATAAGAGCGTTCGAAGTAAGAAGCAGCATCTTTTATTTTCATTTAAAAGTTTAGTCTTCCCTATAAAAAAAGATTGCCTGCTGATGCCTGCCCATGAATGCCGCAGTGGTATGGGGCAAAGTGCTGCTCAGGTCGTCCAAGGTCTGTCACAATGTTCCTTGTACGCCTACCAGTAGGGTTTTTGCCTGCAGGGGTCAGGCTTTCTCGCAGGCCCTTCTAGCAGGCAGGCTTTTTTTATAGGGTTATTCAAATGACTATATCATACAACTAAAAGAATTGTAGCCGATAAAGAGAATCAAAGATTCACCGTATGGGTTCAAATTCACTGTCTTCAAAAAATAACGGAAAGATGTAATAAAGCACAAGGAGTTCAACTGTAAAAATCACAAAATTTATGTTAAATCTAATGAATAAAAAACAGTTATTTATTTCTGTTAAATCGTTACGGTAGACTAGCAGAAACACTCTTGAAAAACTGCAATAATCCAGAAGAAAATAGCCAGCACTTTTCATTTCACAATTGGACTTTTAGATGGATTTTTTTATCTTGTGCTGCACTTCATGTAATTCTTTAGATTTCTTCTTACGAGGAAACCTATCCCAGTGATACCTCCCGATTTCGTTCGTTCATACGTCGATCGATAGAGGGTTCGAGCTAGTAAAAAGTCTAAAAGGATTTTTTCCCATGACTCTTGGGGACCCGGTTTTCGGGAAAATCAGTTTTCAAAAACTCTAAAAAGTAACCAAAAGCTTTCTTAATGAGACATGATTGTACCACGCAAACTTCTGATTAAAATGAGACATCTCCCAGCTCTACACGACCTTTCTTTGCAAAGTTATAGAATTTACAAGAAAAGCCCTAAATTAATTTCTTCTTATTTCTGCAGCTTTGAGCTGATAATGAACATTTAGGGCTTTTCTTGTAAATTCTATAACTTTGCAAAGAAAGGTCTTGTAGAGCTGGTAATGTCTCATTTTAATCAGAAATTTGCGAGCTACAATTATGTCTCATTAAGAAAGCTTTTTGGTTATTTTTTAGAGTTTCTGAAAACTGGTTTTCCCGAAAACCGGGTCCTCAAGAGTCATGGGGGAAAATTCTTTTAGACTTTTTACTAGCTCGATACCCTCTATCGATCGATGTATGAAGTTGCCACGAGTGATTTTATCTAATTCATACGTTATTAAAACTATGGCTTTGGACATTGCAGACAATAATAATAACGAAGAGTGACACATTCATTATCTGACTTCACAGCTTGTCTTCAAACGGTTGGCTGATAGAAGTCCAAATGTTACGGTTTAGAGTCTGAAATAAATAGATGAGAATGATAGCTACTACTGTAACTGAGAAAAAAATCAAAACTCAAATAAACTTCTCTGAAAAAAATTGTATATTATTCATCTATGTTCCATTTAAAAAGGAAAGCAAAAATTATACTGCTAACATATTATAATCATTCTTCTTTTGTTTAATTCGAAGAGAAAGATTCAATTAGAAAGATACTTTCTTTAGTTGAAAGTGTTTGTTTTTTTGTTTATTCACTGTCAAACAATAGAGTTAGACAAAAAACATAACAAAGTAACAAGAAAACAGAGCACATGTATACATAAAAGAAATTGTTTGGGAAGTAGAGAAAACGAAAACGAGAGAAAAATAAGATAGCCTAAACACAAACAAATATGTCTACTCTTATTGATTTTCCGTTGAAGTTGCTGAACAGTTCATTCAATAACACAAATACCGCCAACAGCTTCGATTTTTGCTTTGATTGTTTCAGCATCAGCTTTACTCAAATTATCTCGTAATACTTGTGGAACAGCTTCGACCATTTTTTTCGCCTAAAACAAAATAAAAATTTAATTCTGTACTTAAATGTTTTTAGATCTTTCAGCGTGTAGTAACTCATACCTGTACTAAATTAATATTTTCCACAACATCTTTGACTTGTTTAATTACTGGTACTTTTTTCGTATCATCATATTTGATTAGGCGAACTTTGAATACTGATTGAGCTGAAGGACGAGCTTCTTCTTCCTCCTCTTCCTTTTTCTAAACAAACACAAAATACAATGATTTATCTTAATACAAATAAAACAAGCATTTCTCATACCGCTATAGGAGACGCTGCAGCAGCCGTTCCCGAAGCCATAATCGCTACATCTTGGATTTTTAGTGTTTTCTAAAGCAACAACGAAACATATGGAAATAAAGAGATTCAACCTTCAATCAGAGTGTAACTTACTTTTAATAATTCACTAAGGTCCATAACATCTACCAACGATAGTTTGCTTATTTCATTAACTAGATGTTGAATTTTTGATGAATAGACTTTTTCCTCTCCAGTAGTACGTGGTGGAGATAGCTTTTCGCCACTTCGGACTGATTGGGAGGATTCTTGTTGAGCTTGTGAAACATCTTTTGTTGTTTCAACATCGCTTGTTTCTGTTTCTAAGGTTGATTTCTCCTTTGATTTTCTATCTTTTTTTGCTTTGCTTGTTTCTGTAGAACTGCCGTCTGTGGATGATGCTGTCGTTTGAACAGTTCTTATCTCTTTATCTGTTGTCGTTTTTCTTTCTTCTTCAGGAGAGCTGTTTTCCTTTATTTTCGCTTTAGCAACAGTAGCTGTTGCTGCCGAACGTGAAATGAATGGATTAAATAAAGAATTCGTAACAGACCTAGAACAAAATGCTTAATCATAGCCTTTTCAGATCTTTGCGAGTATTACAGGATAGACAGCATGGCTTGGGAGCTATGTTGTTCGTCACATACTTCAAAGACACTCGTGTTGGAACCTATGTGCTAACAAGTCGTGTACTAACCTTGGGCAAGTTACTTTGTCCTAGTGCTTCGAATCGGAACTCTGCATTAGACTAGCCTTTTGACAAGAGTTGGAATTGATAGTAATGGTGTGGCTAACCGTGACAGAAGCTTACCAAGTGGAGGGAAGATATCAGGCTACTGAAACTGACACTTATCAACACCCTACATCAGTAACGCGAGCTGTAAGGCAATACAATCTCTTTCTTCCTTCTGAGCATTATGGGGAAAAAAGTCAATTCAAACCGTGACCAAGAACACATTTTTAGAACTTCTTTTTCTGATTTTGTCTTTCTTTTTCGCAGTAGTATTCAACTATACCTGATTAGGCGTATCCGAGAAAGTGTCGCGTAAATGATCGCCTTTGCTACAAACGAGTAGAAACAAACGATGGTAACGATTTCAACAGTAAATGTCCCTTTTCAGATCAAATCTTGCAATGAAATTTAACGAAGAAAAGTGAATGCTGCGTTTTACCTACCACGTCGGTAAACGGTTAACATTATTAACAACACTTGGAGCACGTAATAAAGCTAGTAAAATGTGACGCATTTCGTAAAATTCTAAAGTACATACAAAAGACGTATAGTTCGTAATGCAAAAGAACAAGATTGTATTATATAATCATTCCAGTTTTTAGCTTAAATACGATATAGGTCAACCTGTTTCCAAAACACTATTCGATGAATAATTTTATCCTAGCAGAAGCAACAACGTAAACTAGTCTTTTCTTCTTCAACTGGGTTAGTGAATGGCTAGACATGATTCGGAAACAGCAAGTAAAAGATGTAATAAGATCATACTATAATAGTCTATGGTACGGTTCCAGCTTTTATTAATTCATTTTGTTCGCGCATTTCCAACCGAATAATAAGGCACATCACTAGGTATTAATTTGATGTAACAACCAGATTAAAGAAGGTTTAACAATCAGGTTCAGGATCCTGCATCTTATTATTTTCTGTCTTCATAATGTTTTTCCTTTTTCTTCTAAATCTTCGTCTTTCTACACGCTTACTATATAGCTTTGCAAAGACTGTAGTGACATTTTAAGAAAGAGGATTTAGCGACAAATATGATGAACAGAAATCGCTGTTATCGAAGAAAACGGATTACATTACTAAAACTTGAGTCTAAAATATGAGAAGAAGAAATCAGTAAAAGAAAACAAGACTTTATTTTGCTTGGATCAGAGTCGCGAATCATGGAAGCTAACACACGTCAGAAAAAAATAAATTCTTACATATGTATATGCGTATGAGTATCCATTTTCCAGCAGAGAAAATCAAGATCAATTTTCATTGAAAACCTAGTATAAACTCAAACGATTAAAAATATTCATATTACAAAGGTTCTCTTATTAGTGATTTTAAACAATAAAAAATATACTTGCACGGTTTTAGTCGATGTCATCTGTACTTAGGTACGTAAATTAGTAGATTTACTTCTTTCTGTATCTTTGTATGCAGTCATATGCTCTCTTTTTTGCAGTTTTTGTTTACCAGCCAATGGGCCAATGTCTAAATAAATATTCTGGTCAAATGTCAAGAGCAACACCAACTAATGCATCTTCGATAAAACATGTGAAAAAGAAGGCAAAAAAGGATTTATACGAGTTTAATAATACGACTAAAAAGTTATTTCTACATTCAAGTCAAGATTCATCCATTAGTCAACGTAATTCATTACAGCAAAGAACAACTAACAGTCTTTTGTCTCGCACACATCATCACCAACATCAGCAGCTGCCTAAAACACAATTAGAACCGCGTCGTGATATACCGATTCATAAAATTCCTGAATTACTTGCTAAAATTACTTGCCATATATCACCATCATCGGATAAATATTCTTCTCAACAACATACAACAAATTCTGCAAGAGCCGTACAACTATCTGATCAACGAATTGAGACTCTATTTGAAAGCTACTGTGATCACCAAGCAACAGAGAAAGTGATTAATATTGATGGTATAATTAGATTTTGCCATGATTTACAATTAAATCCAGAATCATTCGAAATTCTTGTATTAGCATGGATATTTCGTGCCCAACAAATGTATCAATTTACTCATGATGAATTTATTGGAGGATTCAAAACAATGAAATGTGATAATATTAATGATTTAAGAACAAAACTATGTACTTATCTTGAACAAGAACTGTTAATCAATGATTATCTGTTTTATAAAGACTTTTATTCTTGGACATACTATTATGGTTTAGATCGTTCGAATGGTCAACGAAATTTATGCATTAACATTGCTTGTAGTTTATGGCGTTTAATTTATTCAGAAGTAAAACAACGGCCAAGGATCTTGGATTCATGGTTAAATTATTTGGAAAATGTACAAACTCACATTAAATTTACCACATTTGATACATGGAATGTATGGCCTCAATTTTCTAAATATATTGAAAATAATTTAGACAACTATGATGATTCCGAAGCATGGCCATGTTTATTCGATGAATTTGTTGAGTATGAAAGACAGAATAAACAGCAGATAACAACAACAACAGATTCAATGATGACATGATTTTACTATGTCTAATGCTTTTTGATTATAAATTTTTTTCTATCAGACTGTTACACAGTAGTAACATTTTTGTTTATTTACGATCAAATATATTCATATCCTTTAGAAAAAGAATTTTAATTTTAAAATACAACATAATAACTCGTTTCTCCCATGTGGTTTAATTTTAACTTTTTACAACTTCTCACCAATAAAATACACTGACCTACTGTCATGGTTAGCTATCATATTTTGTTATTCTTTTCTTTCTCTAAAAGGATGTCTTTATTCATTACTTTTTATTCAGTGCAGTATACATTTTTGTTTTTTCAAACCAAAATGCTCTCCTACGTGTTGTGGTTTGCATTATTTTTCTCTTCAAAATCTTGTGGTGAGAATGTCTGAAAATGTGCGATATTATACACCTTGATTAAGCGACTCGTCTTATCAAATTTTGACTAATATTTATTTTTTTAGTGTGTTTTTGGAATTTTGAACAGCTTTAGTATTTAAACAGTTTACTTTTTATTTTTTAAAAAGTTGTTGTTGCTCGTTCTCTTTTTTGTTTATTATTCTAAAAGTAAATTCACAAATGCCTTAATTTCTGTTGTTTATTTCTTTTCTAAGAAAAAAAGAATTGACTTAATTATGTTTCGGTCTCTGAAAATATTTTGTCAGAAAAAAGCGTCTACGGTTGATTATTAAAGGTAATCGATTTTGGATGTACGAAAATATTTTTCTAGTTTTTCCGCGTGAGATATTGGTTGATTGCCACACTCGATTTTGTTTTATTGCATTCGATTAAACCATAGTAAAAAAAGTTAATCTGAACGTGTTTTTTTTTATAAAATATATTGAATCATCATTTCATTTGATGCTTCGGATGTCTAGTCATCTTTTCATTTGTTTTATGCTTAAATTTTAGATATAACTGTTAGCATAATAGTTGCTAAAAAAGTACCATCTTTGATTCAACGTTTCCCACTTTCGTCATCTTATTATAATCATTTATCTTATTCATCACAACTGAAGAGTTTAGTGGAAACCGTTTTTTAAAATAGTTAGGAGTAAATCAAATATAATCGCAATGATTGTTCTAGTTGAGAAGAATTTGTCATACTTATTGAGTATTCAAGTGAGAACTCTTTTCATTGTAAATTTTGGCGCTAACAATAGAAAATAATAGTACTGAAATGATTTCTGTTCAGATGTAGAAAGTTGAGATTAAGAAAGTGAACCTTATTCTATAGAATATATTGCATTACTATTCGGTAATCAGAATAAATAAAAACAGTTTGAAAGTAAACGAAATCGACATTCAGATATATTTGATTAATGTTTTGGGAGACAAGTGGTGCTTGTGTATGACACCGTGCTGTTAGTCAATGTATATTCAGTACATAGTAATTATGATGTAACTATCGAACTACGAAACAAGAATAAAGTAAAATTAAAAAAATAAAGAATAAATTTTAAAAAAAAGATGTCTCTTAGATATAATAGTGTATAAATTCAAATAGAAAGTTTAACGTTATGAAAGTTAATTTGAATAAGATAAACTGTCTAAAGAACCTGAATAAGATGGTTATGAATATGACAAAGTTGTATGATTTGTGTGTCAGTCGGTCAGAATAAAATTGTTTAATCATTGTTTTATGGTCATGGCAATTGTCATTATGCAGTCAGAAGAATATCTCGTATGGGGAACTGTCAGACAATCGTTAGAGATAAAATTGTAGTCATCATTTTCTAAAATGTTGTTGCTTGTAGGTCATAGTGATTTGTAATTGATAATTTGTTCATTAATCTTTTTTACCGTTTTGTATTTATTTGAATTGACAAATTTAATTAAAGTTGTTTATAAGAGATTTCTAAATGAACAGTTTGTGTACTTTATAGATGTGTCTGACCATTTAGCATAGTCAAATATTTTCGCTGGATTCTATTTTAGTGAAGATGTAAACAAGATCAGTTTAGCGATAATTATTGTTCAGTTTTGACAAAGTTTTCACCAAAAATGACAGTAAATCGCTTTATTATTTTCAACATTTAGAATATTTAATAAATTGATTAACAGATTCGTATGACATCATCGACGGGAGACATGTCTTGTTGCATATTTCTCTTTTTAAGATAAAATTCAAAGTGTACATGATTTTACATCAAAAAATGAAGAAATGATAAGAGAAATTAATATATTAAAGTAAATGTGTATAACCAACGTGTTTGGTCATTTCCAACTTACTTACATTCTATATTTTTCTCTAGTGGATAAACCATCATTGAAACCGTTGGTTTTTGCCAAAGGAAAAATTGATCCTCATCCAATTATGTATGTTCCTAATGATCAAGTACTAATCTATAAACATAATTAAAATCATGTTTATTTCTTTTCTTAGTCGACCACCTATTAGAAATAATCATGATCTAAGCACTGGAACATTACGTATATCAGAAACAAAAGTAAAATGATTAAGAAAATCAAAAAAAACAAAATTGATTTTTTATTAAATATCTTTATTATTAGCAATATGATTTTACTTCAAATGATTTGGTGGATAGAGGAGTTATTGGTGAAGGAAATTTTGGTATCGTTTGCAACATGCTGCATGAAAAATCGAATACACCCATGGCTGTAAAAGTAACGAACTATTAAAATCTGTTTGATTAAAAACACCATTATCTCATATTTTTATCATTTTTTTGTAGCGTATTCGTTCAACTGTTGATGAGCAATGTCAGAAACAAATGCTTCTTGAACTCGATATTGTCATGAAAGAAAATTCCTGTCCTTATATTGTACAATTTTATGGTGCTTTGTTCAAAGAGGTATTGTCTATTGAACGAACAGTATTCAATGATCAAAAACTCACTAAAAACTGTATGATGACCATTTTTTTTTTCAATCAAGTTGTTGATTACTATACTCTGGTCTTTTACGTCCAGCTAATTGTTCTCAATTTATTAGGGCGACTGTTGGATATGTATGGAATTAATGGATTCATCCTTAGATCGTTTTTACAAATATGTTTATCATAAACTTCATGAGACAATTCCCGAAGATGTACTTGGCCAAATTACTCTCGCTGTATATATCACTTAAGATGAAACTACCTTAACATTTTATTTTTTTTTAATTTTATTTATCATGTAGACCCTTCAAGCATTACATTATATTAAAGAGAGATGGCAAATTATACATCGCGGTAAACTTTGCTCTTTATTTATCAATAAAATGTTTAATTCTTTTTTGTATAGACGTAAAACCATCAAATATTCTTGTGTCTCGAACAAGTATTAAATTATGTGACTTTGGTATTAGTGGTCAACTAATTGATTCAATAGCAAAAACAAGAGACGCGGGATGTAAACCTTATTTACCGGTATTTTTTACGTTTATATTTATTTTCTATTGAATTTTTTATTTGATACGAAAAATTTCTGTTGAACGCGTCAATCAGTTTTTAATGCGTTTAATAGCGTTAAGTTTTATTATACTCACACGCGTTAACTACACATATACATACATCAAATTCTACATATAAAAGTAAACGAAAAAATCCTAATTTATTAAAAAACCATAAATGTATTAAAACGTATTAGAATAGCCCGTTTAACATATTTGTCTCACGTTAAAACACGTTTTTGTCTCATATTCAGGTTTTTTTGAGGCATTTCTTGCGTTAAAACTAAATTAAATCGATTCAAAAAAACTGTTCTTAATGAATTATAAAACTTTCGAACTTTTAACGTCTTAAAAAGTTGATGCTTTTCAATGCATTAAAAATTTTAATACATTCGAACACATTAAAATTGCTGATGAAAAAGACATTAATTTTTAGCGCATTTTATGTATGACCATGCCCAACGAAGGCGAGAAGAATCGAAGGACACTGTCAGAAAAACGAAAAAGTATTTCTCTGTAGGATGTGAGTGCTGTTTTTGTCGTTGTGTTCACATGCATTAATTTTTAACCCATGTAAATATCGGAGATAGCTTCTAAAATCTTTGAATAATATAGATACTAAAAGAAGAAAGCTGTTTTAATGTATTCGAATGCGTGAGCTTGTTATGCATTAATTTTTAAGGCGTTTGGAGATATGGAAATAATAAAACGATACTTTTACCGCGTTTGGACTGGCGAAAAGTTTTATGAAGTTGAAATGTGTTCGTTAATAAAATATTTGAAGGTGTTGTATTTGTAAAAATGCATTAGGCAAAATTAAAACGAATAAGGCTCCTAATTGTATTGACTTTTAAAACATGTTAATACACTAAAACGTTTTTTTATTGATTTAATACATTCAAAGGGATAAACTGTCAATTTTTACGCGTTTAAAGGAATTTTTTGGTATGAAAATATCAATGAATTAACATTATTTCATCTAGCATTTTTTCTACCTTCTATATATAGCCAGAACGAATAGATCCAAAGCGATCTACACGAGGATACGATGTTCGCTCCGATGTTTGGTCGCTGGGTATTAGTATTGTAAGTCGTCCAAACATGTTTGATATTTATCTCAATCATTTTGTTGTCTAGTATGAATTGGCTACTGGATATTTTCCATTTCGTGAATGGACAAGTCCCTTTGATCAGTTACAACAGGTTGTAGAAGGACCACCATTAAAATTAACCTCTGAACGTTTATCGAAAGAATGTTGCGATTTTGTAACTACATGGTAGATAAACACAGTTGTTGCGTGGATGTCAACTAAAAAAGTTGATGTTTTTTTTAGTTTGAACAAAGATGAAACTCAACGTCCAAAATACAAACAATTACTGGAGAGTAAATTTATACAACATCAAAAAGAATTGAATTATGATCCGGCACCATATCTTTCAAAAATTATCGATGGTCTCATTACGAATAATGATTCATTCGAACTGTATTATTATATGCCACATCGATGAACAGAAAATATTTCTCTTACTTTTTTATTCGAGCTCTTTACTTTTCCTCTGGTTATGTGTTGGAGTACGGGTATACGTGGTGTTTCACCCTTATTATTATGAGCTTTAAATAAATTTGAATGACAATATTCGCTCATTAATTGTTGTTGTTTTTTTCTTTTTTTTTGTTGCATTTATCAATTTTTGGACGTAAGATACTCGTTTTTACATGTTTGTATCTTCTGTCTTTGTCTGTAAACTTTTTTTTCTGTTTATACGTATTCGCTTTTGTAGAATGATGGATGTTGCGATTCTTTTTCAAGCCATTTTTTTTCCGTAAAAAATATCGTATGTGATTTATTTTTATGTTGTTTCAGAAGAAGATAGATTCACATGAACTAGTAAAGAGGTTTCTAAATTTAACTTTATTTGACATTTGGTAGATTACAGTAGTTCTTTCAACGACGTAGAGGATGAAACATGAAGCTATTGGTTTTGTCATTAAAGATTTATCTTTAATTCAGACTGGTATTCAATAACGAGATATATAAGTATTTCTTTCGAGAGAAAAGTCAAATGAAGATTAAATGCTATTTTGTCATAAAATAAATAGAAATGACTCTCAGGCAATTTTTTTAATGAAAAAAATCTGTCTCCCGATTTTTGAAAAGTTTGTCTGTTGAAAAAATGTCTTCGATCTCGCCCGAAAGAATCAGAGAAACAATTCATAAATAGACACAATGTAAAAATTAATACTATTAAAATCTAGAATTGATGTAGATTCGTTGAAAACTGAGAAAATACTTTATACAGTCATCACTTGTCAATGTTACTGTATAAAGAAAAGTTCTATACTCTGATCGTGTAATATATTTTCAATATAAGATGGTCATAATACCATCAAAGCTAAATTATGGTACGAATCAAGATTTTTGTTGGTAATAATACTATTAGTTCTTTCATACGTAGTACATGTGCAACTGAAAACGTCTATAATAATTCATTATTTTAAGCGAGCTTGGTGTACTATCACTGAAGAGTTTAACAATTTTGTGAGGTTTATAAATGTTTATAACTTTAAAAAATTCTAACTAATTTAACTCTCATTAAAACTCTTTGGCTTTTATTTCGACTCTTTAAAAGAGTTGAAATAGCTATAATGAGTTGGTGTTTTATAAACAAATGTTGCAAAAAGCAGAAAAGTATGAGAAACGGAATACAAATGAACAGAAGATACCAGTGTGATTAAATATGGTATCGTCGGGATTAATTGTTTTTTTTGCAGCCTGAAGTGTTCTTCTATTACTATTCATATTGTTGAAAGGAAAATGACACAAATGAACTAACCTACGGTGCAAAGGTAATTACTGAAATCTCCAGCTATGGTTCTTCGATCAGGAACATCACAGAAAGTTCATTTGTTTTCTGGTTGATAGAGCAAAGTCTAAACTTCAAAAAATATAGGAAACAAAATTTTTGGGATTGACTTTGAAGAAGAAAAAAGTACGATACCAAATGTCGCTAAAAATGCTCTTGCAACTTTTGTCCTCTTCAAACGTATCTTTCTTATCAAACCTATTGTTCTCTATAATAGAATATGTTTGAAATTATATAATTATAGAAACTAGAAGTGTTTTAATCACTCTTTCAAAGGGAGTATGGTAAATTGTGCTTTGATCCACTTTTCGACCGGAACTTTGCAAGTTTTTCATTAGTTTCAAAAAACAGATAATTAGATTTATTAATAATTTTCAAATACTGGACGAATTTTAGTCCTTTTTCTAAAACACATTTTAACAGAAAAACGTTGCCTTTACACTCGAGTAAAAAAATAAAGAAAACAAGTACGTTGCACGAACTTTTTTAGCGACATGTGATATTGTACTTTTTTCTTCCTCAAAGCTAACCTCAAAAATTTTGTTTCCTATATTTTTTGAAGTTCAGGCTTTGCTCTTTCATCCAGAATATGAGTGAACTTTCTGCGATGTTCCTGACCGGAGAACCATGGCTGAAGATTTCGGTAAGTACTTTTGCACCGCAGGTTAATGTAGTCAATTCTCGTCCATTGATAACTTTGATTATGTTTTCATTTTTGTAGCATGGTACCGCTACTAGGTTTTTTGTCGTATAGGCTATATAGAATTTTGCATGCTTTACGTTGGTAAACTGCATGCTATCGAAATCTTCATAAGAGTCCGAGAATGCTATTAGGCACATTGTAGTTCCAGTGGGTGTGTTCTGATCTGAACTCTCATATAACGAGCATTAACCAGCGTCGGATATTTTTCTATGATCCTATTTCTATGTGTGTCCATCTCTAATATCAATAAAGGAGTTCACGACCTTTGTACATGTGTAAGTCTAATGTGTTCTGAATAGAAAGTGTTATTTTGGCTATAATGATACGTGAACTTAGATGAAAAGATCTGCTGATCTGGTGCACTTTTTTGTTTTTGAACAACACAAATTCGTTGGATGAAAGTTTTGACTTTCAACAAATATAGCGCAGAATCGTGAATATCTCGATAATCGTAGATTGTCTGAAAAAGATGAAAACAGGAAATGAATCTCATTTTGCTTTTGTTTAAACTCAAAACTTTCATCCAACGAATTTGTGTTGCTCAAAAATGAAAAAGTGCACCAAATAAGCAGTTTTTTTTCATCTCAGTCTACGTACTGCAAGAACAGTTGCTTATTGATTATGTATTAACAATAAGTCAACTGAATAAGAGATTTCATGAGTAGATAAACACGCTAGTTTTTGAAAACACTAGAGAGAGATAGAGAATAGCTTTTGTTTTAGAAAGAATGAAACTTTACTGTATCTATGTTGGTAATTTGATATTTAGTTGTTTGCGTATATTTGCAGGTATAATCGCTTTTCTTTCTAATTTATGACTTTTATGAGTTCATGTCTATCCTATAAACTCTGTTTTGAACATCTATACGATGTTTTTACAATAAAAGAAACAATGGGAATGAAAATATATTTTACCTAGACGATGTATCGACAATAACGAGTAGAATAATTATTGAAATATTTTATTATATAGAACTGGGTTAGAGTAATCAATTTCTCTTGAGGATGACGATGTGATTAATTCACAAAGGACGTTGAGAAGTGTTTTTTGTTAACAAACCATATTAAGTGCTTTTCAGACATCCAGTAATGCAGTCGAAACAAAGGTTTCAGTCTTATTCATTAGATATTATTTGAGTCTCTCATATCTACCTTTCTATCTGATTATGATATCACGCATAGTAATTAGCTTTGTTTTCCAAATTAATAACCAAAATGACCTGTTAATGTACTTAAATGTCAGAAAGTGGCGGGTTAACTCTCTATGGAAAATTAAAACCTTGGAGACTTTTGTTCATACAATGTAAAAAGTGGATTATTTAATTAGATTTTATAATAAGAACGATGTCCTGTTTTTATTAACTGTTATGAAAGGAAACATTCAGCTATATAAGGGTAATTTATTATTTTGTGGTAATTCATCGCACAGAACCGCACTGGAACAAAAAACGTAAAAAAAGTTTTTGTGCCTGTATACAGAACCATTTTTCTGATATTTATATAGAAGAGTTGTAGACATTATCAATCTACATCATTTCACTCAATATTTCTTTCATCCTTTCCTTATTATTTCTTTGACAACTCTATCAAGCTTCGAGTACGTGTAGCACATAGATCTTTTCTCTTTCCTGCCTGGCGACCAGCGTTGATTATTATCGTTTAGTTTTATTTTACTCTTTTTTCTTTATACACCTGTTTCATTATTCTCGCAAAAACCCATGAGATAATTTTATTACCCGAATGAAAGTTCTAACGTATTCAGAAAATTTTAAGAAACGCCCTGAAACTCAATCCTTTACCCTCGGATATCCACAAACGTGAGCATTAGTGAACAGCGTAGAACTACTATAACAGGATGACGATGTGTCGCATCAAAAAACGGATTCTTTTCTAACGTAAGCTGGCACCATAAGCTAGCGATTGCTATTAAGAAAATTTTGTTTTTATCAAGGCTAGACAAAGGTATGAGAGTTTTAAATTCGTTTTGTATGATTAGCTGTCCGAAGTAAAGGGATGAACACGTGTTGAACTGGCATGTGTGAACACGTGTTCCGTGTCACGTTTACGAATTTTTTTTTTATATAAGCTTTATTCTTTCAGAATACAAGCGGAAGAATATTCCATTATAGTATTCTATGAATTCTATTACGAAGTTTGAAGGTTAAAAATGCGTGTGCGACTGGTCGAACACATTCGAACAGCTAAAGAAATGGCACAACATTCTAACGCATCGCAACGTGGTGAAATCAACTTGTTACAGTGCGTTCAAGTCCAAATCCTTTCGAATTTGTTCAGTTTTTCTAAACGCGATGGAATGCGCTCTAAATCATACACGTTTTAACTCATTAAATTAGGAACAACCTGCGACATGTGCTCTTCTATTTTTCCAGTTTCATTTCATTTTCGATTAGTTTTCTTTGGATGGACCCTGAGGCCCGTCCAGTAAGGTCTACTAGTACTATAGCTCAGTGTTAGATCAGCTACTTCCTATAGAAAGAGAAGAAATTTACAAAATTTTCAGTTGAAATTTTCACTACACGTAGATCACCATATATTGAAGATGTGCACATATTCCGGGGTTTCTGAAACTGTGCTCCATTTTCAACAAAGTTTTGGTCATCGGTTTGTAACAACCTAATACTCCACGAGGAATCTGATGACTCTCCGTGAAAGTACGCGCTAATTTTAGTAAGGTATGTAGTATCTGAAGTCTGTAATGTATTCGCTGTTAGACTGGTGGTGGCTGCACCATAGCGCCAAAGAAAAAACAAAAATTTTGCCGATGGCTCATTGTTTTTAACGTGTCAGAACGCAAAAAGTTTTTAAATTTTTGGGATGAACGTATTCGTTTCACTTTGATGGATTTTTGCTTTTTTAGCTATTTAAATACCTTACCTGTATCTATATAATGGTTTGTCCGATTTAGTGCAGATATAGTGAA